GCGCTGTTGTTGCTACTTGCAGTGAACATTTTCTATAGGAAGTCTTTTGTAGCGCTAAGTTTAATCTTACTAGGACAATTGTACAGATGTCTATTTAGATGTAGGGAAGCTCTTAATGAAGGTCAGAGCTTAGAGAATATAGGTGGACCTCTATGGTTGTTCACCTATTGGGGTCATCTCTACACTACTCTGTGTATGGAGTAGACCGAGTAAGAGGTAAAGAACGAGATGGCAGCTGAAAAATCTTTGTATGTGTCAAACTTGATTATAGGGAGAAAACTTTAAAAGTGGACTGTTGTTCATATGCAGAAATATACTTCAACTATTTTGACCACCAAAAAGTTCCTAAACCTAATCTCGTTATGCATTGTCTGTTGGAGTTAGACCATTTTCCTGTTAGTTGGTACATTATGAGCCGGAAGGACAATCCTGATACTAGCAGTATATAGGTTTTTGATGCAACTCCAAAGTGGCTTAAAATAGTAGGCATGAGGGAAACCTTTGAGAAGGATTCCCCATTTTGGTGTTCTGTGTTAGCTTCCAGGGATTTGCTTGTAGGAGAGCCAGAACACTTTGATTTTGAATCCTATAATCCTGAAATGGTAGCCAGATAATATGGTTTATGCCAATCTCTTGCTATCCCCTTGATCATCACCTGTAACGTTCCTTGGGATCTCCGTCCAAAATTTCATGAAGAAGATGTTTAGAAGAATGACTCCCTTACATGTCCTAAAGTCATTTTGCATCCTAGGAAGTTAAGTGATTTGGTTTCCTTGAGTTACCTTGAATGGTGGTACCATGGACCACTTCAAGCTCATGCTGTTGACGATACCAATGCACACTTTGCTGTGAGTATTGGCAACTATAAAGGTATGAATTCCTCTAAGTGCTTCCTTCACTTGCTTCTTACTCTCTACTCATAAGCTACTTTTCAGGTAAGAAGAAGATTGATGTATCTTTGATCAAGATGATAGGCAAATCTGCTTATCATCAAATAGATCTCTTAACTAAGATTGCTATAGAGTTCAATTATGAACCCACGACCATAGATGATTCATACAGGAGTATCATTCATTCCCACACTGATAGAGTTGGATTGAGAAAGATGGTTTTACTTTTGACCCCAGGTTCCTTACAGAAATCAAGGAGTAACAGTAATAGGAACATCTCCATGTCAAGTCCTAGTACAAGGTCTCAATCTGCATATAAAATAGATCCAGAGCTAGAAACTACTGATATCCCACTTACGAGTAAGTGCATTAGCTTTAATTTGTCCAAACTTCTTGTACCTTGTTACTATGATTTGCTTCATGCCAGGTCTGTAGGGTTTCGTAGTGACCCAACACTACGCGGAAGGAAACCCACCAAGACCCGCCCCTTAATTAAAACAATTAACAAGCATATCAAACTTAATCAAACAAGATTAAGAATAAGAATTATACCTTTGTCGCGTGCTTCGCTCCCAAAGAGCTCTTACTTCAAAATCCTGAAAACACGAGATCTTCGACGGATCGTACCCTCGACCCGACCTGAGCGTCCTAAGTCTTGAAGGTTAGTCAAGACCCGGACAAAATAACTATGACTTTTACGAATCAAAGGTTTACTCTTACTTAGAGTTGCCTTTTTAATTCCACTCAAGGTTGTTCATTTCCCAATACCCAAGCATGGTATTTATAGGGAAAAGAACCCTTGATTTTTCATCCTCCACCAATGTGGGAGTGTTGAAAATCAATCATTTATTTAATTTCCAAATTAAATAAATAATCAAGTTAATCATATTGCGACAAGTGGCATGTTCTCATGCAAAAGAGTGGTGGCCAAGGTTAGGTGGGGGACCATATGCCTTGCTCCCCAAGGCCTTGATTTGGTCCCCACACCCTTGCAAAAAATCGGTTCAAGGAGGGCTAGCTGGCTGCCAGCTAGCGTGCCAGCTAGGGCTGCCAGCTAGTAGTGCCTTGCTGCCTAGTACCCCAGCCAGCCAGCCAGTGCGTGCTACTGCTGGGCTGGTGCTGGTGCTTGTGTGCTGGCGCTGGGCGCTGCTAGCACATAGTGCTGGCACTGGCCCTCAGCAGCCCACGCACAGGCTAGCACGCACACTTTCCTTGCGCGCCATTGCTAGCACAGCCAGCATGCGTGCTGCTAGCGAGCCACGCATGCTGGCCCCTTCCTTCGCATCGTGCTACGCACCACGCAACACGCAGCGCGCCATGCATCACGCAACACGCAGCATGCTACACACCACGCAACGCTCGCACACGCATCAGCCAGTGCCTAGCTTTGCTATGCTTGGTGCGAGGCACGCACACATGCACATGCACATGCGCCAGTGCCTAGCACTGCGATGGTTGTGCTTGGTGTGTGTGTGGCCTTGCCATACGCACCCAGGCACCCAAGCTAGAACGCTGCTAGCTGCGATGGGCTTCCTGGTGCTTGTGGTGCTTGCGATAGCCTACCATGCGCACTCAGGCACCCAGGCTAGCACGCTGCTAGCTGCGATGGGCTGCCTAGGGCTTGTGGTACTTTGCGATAGGCTGCCATGGCACGCCTAGGCTGCGATAGTGCACCTAGGCTGCGATGGTGCGCCTAGCACACCTAGCATGCTTAGGCTTGTGCCTAGCCATTCTAGGTGCATGCTAGCTTGAACTAGCCTATCATCCACATGGTTAGACCATTGTGGTGCTACGGCTACATTTATACTTGTCGCTTTGTGATTTTGCGACGCTCGGTCTCGACGCCCTAGGCTCGATATCCGACGTCTGTATTCGTAAAACTCTGCTGACTCATTAAATCCTTTCGGATTAATTCGTCGTCTCAAATCGGTGATTCGATTGGGTTCGACCCGAAGGGTTCAGGTAAGATTAAGCTGCAACATCAATTGTACATTGATATTACTGATCGGAAGCGGCCTCCACCGAGGCATTCCGATCACTTGACCTTACTGAAGACTTAGCTCCGTAATAATTCTGAACCCTCTATCGGAAAAATACACTTGTTGGAAGGACACCATTCCTTTCAAGGTCTGGCTCCGAACATTAAAAAGAAACGAAAGTCTCCAGAAAAGACCACGCCTTCCAACACTATTTCGATTGACAGTGATGAAGAAGAGCTAGGGAATACAACAAGCGTACCAGATCTCTTAGAGAAAATTGTTGCTTCAAGCCTGCTGTCATTAGAGAAATCTCCACTCCGTGATCCTATACCTTCTGCCCCAACAAATTAAGGTCCTGAGAAGAAAAAGAGAAAAGGTGATGATGGCCCGATTAAGGACCAGAGTGTTGCTTCAGATAAACAACAACTAGGCAAAAATTCATCATCTGGTGGTGACTACAAGCATCCGGTGGTGAACCAAAAGCTTTGCAAATTGAAGATGTTGTGGGTGTGCAAGCAAGTCCTAGCCAATCAAATGTCAAGACTTTTGTTTCAAGAACAACTTCGGTTTCTTCTCAATAATCCAAAACCCTTGCCACTATGGAAACAAATCGGCCTACTCAAAATGTTGATGCTAATGCTAATGTTGATGCCCCCCTAGTATTTGACCCATCGCCTGTGATTACTTTAGAGTTTATACCCGAGCCAAAACAACCTTTTGTTGCAGTTCCTGGCAAGGGAAAAGCTGTCTATGATGGTGCTAAACAAGAGAAGATTGACCCTGTATCCATTCCAACTCTTGAATCTTTTCCTGAATCAATACAACCTCCCTTGACGATTCAAGATCAGGAAGTGGAGATCCATGATGATACTGCACCAAGAGCCACAAGGTCCATTCCTGAAACAGTGCACAATGACACCACAAGTGTCCAGACTAAGGGCGTTGAGCCTTAGATTGATATTATAAAATCAAATCTTTGTGAAGAGGCTTTAGGAGTAAAATGTGCATCTCTGGATTTAGGTGAGTAACACATGTCTTCCTTTCATATCTCTTTATTGGTATCTAACATGCCCGTTATTTCCAGCATTGACAACCATCGACCAAGGAAATTAGGGCAACAAAGCTTCAACCATACAAGTGTTAGATGAGAGTAAGCATCCTAAACTAATAGAATTATGATGTTTATTTAGTCTTTATCAACATCTAATTGTTACACACATGTATCCCAACATCTATATCTCCAGAGATTAAGCTTCTTGATGAAGTCCTAACTCTCTGTGAGAGAGTAGAGTTGCAAGAAGCACCAAGTTCAGAGATGAAACTATATCTAGAACTTATTACTCAAGTTCGTTTGTTGGGAACAATGATCCAGTTATATAAGAAGAATAATCGGTCGCCTGTCAAACATGTGCTATTAAATTAGCCAAGAAAAGATCATCTCTTCCCCCTTTAATTATCTTCGATATATCCCAACAAGTGTCCCAAGTTTTCCAACAACGATATCTTTTAAAGAAGAAAGATCTGGAGTTAGATGTTGAAATGGACCATCTGCAGACTGAGATTGATGAGATCATAGAAGAAGAGAAAAAGATTCAAGCCAGGAGATCTATGGAAGAACAGAATTGTAAAAAAGAGAAAAAACAATTGAAGCTCTAGATTTTTGAGAGTGCTCCAATAATTCAAGAAACTTTGTCTCAATTTGATCGCCAAGGTGAACAGTGGGCGTTGATGAACAAATGCAAGATTATTCTTTCTAAGGTTAAATGTAAAGCAATGGCTAAAAAGTCCCTTCGTCTGTAAACAATACACTTTATTTGTCAAAAGCCTCTAACGATGGATGCTTTTGTTGTAAATTTTTATACTGCTCCCATATGCTTGGGTTGTACTGTTTAAGAACTTTCCATTAAGTTCCCTTGGAAACATTTCCCTATCTAACTCTTGCAACAAATAGGCGTTCCCAGACATGAGTTTATGAATTCTAAATGGACCTTCCCATTTAGAAGACCATTTAACAAAGATATGATCTTTGTATTCATGCTCAGGAAGCTTCATCTTCCACATCAAATCTCCTTCCAAAAAGATTTTATGTTTCACTTTTTTGTTGTAAGATTTTGCTACTTGTTTTTTTTTTCTAAGCTTCGATTTTAGCTAGCGCCTGGAGTCTTTCACCATCAACGCCCATTAGTTCAATGGACATTGATTGCTGGTAGTCTTCTTGGCTTATCCTCATTTTATTAGCTACCCTGGTGGACTTAGCGCTTAGCTTTGCCGGTACAACAGGTTCATGTCCATACACTAATTGATAAGGAGCGGTCCATATTGCATCTTTCTTTGATGTTCTGTATGCCCAAGTAGCACAGTGTAAAAGAACATGCCAATTTTTAGGATTTTCATCCACCATCTTAGCAATTTCTTTAGAGATTACTTTATTAGTGGCTTCGGCTTGTCTATTGGCCTGAGCGGAGTAAGGGGTTGAATGAATCTTTTGGATTTCAAATTCCTTGAGATAGGAATTGAACTCGTGTCCTGTAAACATAGTTTCTTGGTCTATAGTTATAGATTCTGGAATCCCGTACCTTGTAAAGATTTTCTCTTCCAAGAACAAGATCACCACCCTTCCAATGAAGTTTTTGAAAGCCTAGACTTCAATCCAACTTGTGAAGTAATCTGTAGTTATCAGAATATATATTCATGATGAGCAGATGAGGGAGGTTTAATAGGCACAATTGCATCTATCGCCCAACCTCTAAAAGGCCAAGGTTTAATAATGGGGTGCAACTCTGTTGCTGGTGCCCTACTTATTGGTCTAAAGAGTTGACATTGTTTACAACCCTTTGCATACTGCAAACAATCTTTTCTAACTGAAGGCCAATAAAAACCCATATGATTAATTAACCACCTCATCTTTGCTCCTGCTTGATGAGACCCACAAATTCCATGATGAACCTCTGCTAAAATGGTTAACACTTCCTTTGTGTTAATGCACCTTATTAAAATGTCTAAAGGATCCTTTCTGTACAACTTACTCCCCATAAGAAAGTATTTAGTAGCTGCGAGCCTAACTTTTGCTGGCACCTTTCCTTTTGAGGGGTCTTTCAAGTACTCATTACTCTCCTCTCTTCAGTCTATGTCCTAGGCGAGGATACTATATTTATGTACTTCTGCCTTCACTTTTTCATCTAAAGGTTTCAATTTGTATGAGTTTATGTGAATCACTGATTCATCGAAACCTTCAAACTCGAGTAGCGAAGCTTGTTGTGCCAAAAAGTTAACCTCTCTATTTTCTTCTCTTGGGATATGAGAGACTTGGATGAATTCAAAAGCATTAATTAACTCTTAAACGATAGATGAGAAGGTCATCGCCAAAGGTGATATTTTTTTTTGTATTCTTTGTTTACTTGAGCTATCACCCATTGCAAATCGCCTAACACCTTAACCTTGGTAACCCCCATATCTTTCAGAGTCCTCAAACTTATCACTAAGGCTTCAAACACTGCTTTATTATTTGTGCATTGAGTTGAGAAAGTGATCGCCATTTTAGTCACTACGCCAGAAGGTGAATAGATCACAATTCCAGCTCCAGCTGACTCTTTTCTACTAGATCCATCAAAGAGCATTGTTCATGGGTTTTCCTCCTGGACCATGACATTATCCATAGGTGGATGGTCTGCTAGAAAGTCAACCAAAGCCTATCCCTTAACAGCCTTATGAGGCACATAAGTTAGTTCGAATTGTGATAGATGCATACTCCATTTACACAACCTTCCTTTGATGAAAGGGTGATTTAATAAGTATTTGAGTACAACTGTTGGTGAAATAATCTCCACCGAGAAAGCCATAAAATAATGATAAAGTTTGATGGAAGCATCATACAAACTCAAGCACCATTTTTCAGCATTGGTGTATCTAGTTTCAGTATCATGTAGGATTCTACTTAAATAGAAAATTGCCTGTTCATTCTCTTGGGTTAACATGCTTGCAGTTGAATACTTGGTAGCTGAAAGATACATCTCAAAGGCTTTCCATTTTGTTTAGGAGAAATTAGTACTAGTGGAGTCGCCAACTTCCTCTTGATTTGTTCGAAGGCATCTTGATGGTCGAGCTCCCACTTAAACTCTTCTCCTTTCTTAAGTTTAAGAAGAGGAGAAAACACTTTTGTTTTCCCAGCTAAGTTAGTGATAAACCTTTAAACATAATTAATCTGCCCCATAAACTTCTGGAGTTCTTTTTTATTGGTCGGAGGTGATGCCTTAAGAACTGCTTTAGCCTTGTTTTGGTCAACCTCTATGTCGTTCTTGTGAACCAGGAATCCCAAAAAGTTATTGGCTTCAACCCCGAAGGCACATTTAAGGGGGTTCATCTTTAGATTGAATTTCCTTATCCTTTCAAATGCTAGAATGAGGTGTTCCAAATGCTCTGATAAGTCATGGGATTATACCAAAACATCGTCTATGTAAACCTCCATAAAGTCGCCAATCTTTTTATTAAATATGAGATTCATAGCACTCTGATATGTTGCCCTGCCTTCTTAAGTCCAAATGACATCACCTCATATTCATAGAGTCCCAAAGAGCCTGGGCACCTAAATGCCCTCTTTGAGCGATCATCTTCAGCAATCCTTATCTGGTGATACCCAGGGAAGCCATCTAGCATTGATACAAACTCATGTCTTGATGAGGCATCTATCTACATATCTGCTAGAGGCATGGGGTATTGATCCTTTAGGGATGCACTGTTGATATCTCTATAATCAATGCATATCCTTATTTTTCCATTCTTCTTAATTACAGGAACAATGTTAGCTATCCACTCTGCATATTTGGTGGGTTATATGAATCCTGTCTCTAAGAGTTTGGAAATCTTTTCCTTTATTTTAGGAACCAACTCTGGCGATAAACGTCTTGGATTCTGGACTATAGGATTGTAACCAGGTTTAATAGGAAGCCTATGTTGGATAATAGAAGGATCTATACCCGGCATTTCGTGATGCTCCTATGCGAAACAATCCTTATATTTGTGAAGTATATAAATCAATAATGACTTGTCCTTTATAAGTAATTCCTTACTTATATAAGTTAATCTAGGACAATTAAGAGTTCTGAGATTGACTTCTTCTAGAGGATCATGGACTCCTTGTTTGATATCTTCACTCTTATCCCATAACTTTCATTCTTTTCTCCATCATAAAACTCTTTGTCTAAGTTTGGCGATGATCGGGTATGGTCATCAGACTTTGAGTAGTCAAATAGACATTCAGGAGCCTCCATGTTTGTGTTAATCGTTATATTATGTTGCGAGTAATAGCTTGCATATAAATTTTGAAGAGCTAATAAAGTACTAGATTTGAATTTTCTTTTTATGTAATCATCCATAATATTTGTTCAAACTTCAAATGTATACAGAAAAGATACTAAACATATCCAATCGTAAGTACTCCAAACTCAGAGCTAGACTTTGCAGGTGAATTGTGTTTATCTTCATCTGCATCTACCTCTTCTATCTTGACGATTACACTTGACACCACCTTCTGTTTAGGAACTGACAAGGAATCAAGTTTGAGTACAATCTCATCTATCTTTGGTATTGACTTTACAAGAACCCTGGGAAAATCTTAGTTAGTATCAATCATAATAGCTTCTACATCAACACAAACTACTTCGTATTCATCACCATTCCATAATATTATTATATGATACAAAGAAGAAGGAATATCATACGTTTGATGCAACCATTATCTACCTAGGATAGCGTTACAAGATGCTTCTCCTCTTACTATAAAGAATGCTGAAACAGTGTTAGTAGTACCTACTTGGATTTCAAAACATGCTAACCCTTCAGTAAGTTCAGACTTACCATTGAAACCAGCTATATTAATCTTCACACTAGCCAAATCTTTTTTTGCTTTTACCAATCTTATGAAAAACAAACGACATCAGATTTATCGTGTTTCCTATATCGACCAATACTTTCCCTAGTTCAAACCCTTTAAAATTCTCAGTCACAAAAAGAAGATTGTTATGTGCATTATTAACATTGTAATTCCTTAACAAATGTCGAATGACTAACTGTTCCTGATCATGTGTTACTGTTTCTCTACTAGGTGAACTAAATGAAGCTTTATTCAATTCAGCAGATATAGTAGAGAGTTTACTTACTTGCAGCTTTTTCCTGATCCACTTCATCTACCCATGAACTGGTACCAGGCTTCACCACTTGAGCTCTAAACTCCACTGGTAAAGTCACAATATTACAATCTGCCTCACAAACCTCCTTTAAATACTTTGACAGCAATTACAAATCTGATCTTGAAACTTCCAAATCAAGACCTTTTAGGTCATAGTCTACTAACTCATATGCTGGTTGATCTGTGGCCATCACATCTTCACCTAAGCTTTCTTCCTTATGATACTCTATAGTTAGGTCCTTTTTCCAAATGTTTTCAATCAGCTCCTTCACTATGGGATGATTCTAGATATCATTGCTAGGCAGTTTATTAGACTTTTCACCATCCATTGATTGTTCAATCACTGAGTTAACTTCAGGTTGAACAATTTGTGATGGAATGGTTCAGAGGACATATTTCTTCAAAGCATCTTCATCCAGTTGAACTGCCATCGCTTGAATCTGGCTGCTTAAACTCCTTCTGACTGACTTTGCCTTTTTTTTTTTTTTTTTATAGATTTCCTTTTTCCTTGAGCTTCAGATTATCATTCTCTGTCACTTTATCCTTCAACACTCCTTCTGTTCTCTTTTTTATGCTCACATAGTTGTCCTTTTTGGCCGTAGGTGAAAATTTTTCCTTTCCTTCATTCACCTTATGGAGACTCAACCTGTTTTTTTATAGAAGGAATTAGATTATTGATTTCTGTCTTCTTCTTATGGGGAGTTCTTTGGTGTCTGGGTATCCAACTAGGATCATTTGGAATGGTCTCAGTCGTGACCAATTCAAAATGCAATTAATCAGCATAAGAATGATGAAGATTGTGTCGCAAATTCTTAAGTCCCTCTACTGCTTTGGTTTGCAAGGGAAATAATTGAATTGCCTCTTTGTAAGACTGCCTTTTATTTGTGATTGCTTATCTTGTCAGGTGACTTATTAGTATTTTGACCATTCCCAACAGGCTTAGCTTTGTCCTTCTTCCCTTTAGGATTAAATTCATCAAGTTTCTTCGCCTAATAATCCTGCTTTGAAACAATCACAGCATTCGTTTTGATCTTTTTTATTCAAAAACCCTTTGAAGGCCAAACATTCATTGGTGGCATGAGCAGAGCTAAAGTGCCATATGCGTATCATCATATCTTCATAGTCATCATCCTGACATTGAGGATAAACAATTACTCCTTCCTAAACTAGCCTTTAATACAATCTAACTGCAACAATAACCTTTTTCAGTCTTTGTATTACACCCTGCACAATATCCATGGCAAGACTTACCATAAAAAAAATTAAATTTCATAGACTTCAGACTCTGAGGCGGACTCTGACTCTACTTCACAAGAGCTAACTTTTTCATCAGGGAAATTTATGTGCTTTTTATCAATTTCATCCTGAATCTTATTCTTGAATATTATGCAATCGCTAGTTTTATGAGTAAAAGCATCATGCCATTTATTGTAATTCTTTCCAATAACCTCATCAAGACCTCTTGTTTTATGTTTCCTTGTTAATTTAATCTTTTAATGACTTAGAAGCCAATCAAAGATTTCATCACGTCTCCTAATGTCGAAGGTGTATTCCCTCTTTCTATCATACCTCAAATCTTTCTTATAAGTGAACTTTTTGTTAGCTAAAGGAGGACACATAAACGAAGGACCCTGTACAAACTCAGCTATCGCTTCCTCATACATGTCCTCTTCCTGATTACACTCTTCAGCCACACTAGCATAATATTTATGTTTAGATCTAGACTCCTCTTCTAAACATCTTTCATAAGCCATTACAGCACTAGATAAAGCAACAAAATCAGGGAAGTACTATCATCAAACTTTTTTCTGAAAGGAAAAGACAAACCCTTTTAGACGATAGACACGAATTCTGACTAAAATCAGGGAAGTACTATCATCAAAATTTTTTTTGAAAGGAAAAGACAAACCCTTTTAGACAATAGACACGAATTATGACTTAGGTATATTTAAGTGACATCTAATCTTAGAGTTCTTAAATCTATGAATGTAATCCCCTACGGGTTCTCCTTTTTCCTACACTATCTTAGCTAGATCACCTATAGTGACCCTTGCTTCAATTCTAGTGAAATTGAGAAGAAATTGTGTTTGCATATCTTGCCAATTTTGAATTGAATTTGGTGGTAAGTGAGTAAACCAAGAAAAGGTAATACTAGTAAAAGAATTAGAAAACATTCTAAGCTTAAAGAATTCATTATCTGCCGCCTCTCTACACTGATAGTTGAATCTGACCAAGTGTTCCTCAGGAGACATTGTACTGTCGCTAGAGAAGAGAGGTGTGAATTCTTGAACTTTGAATCCCCTTGGGAATGGATACATCCTATCAATCTATTTAGGTTATGGACTGCAGGTTCCCCTTCTAGAATATCCACCATTCTAACCCATAGCCCTCTAGATCATCTCCTCTACTTGTCTTAGCAGGGGCTCCTATCCG